AAAAAAGGGAAGATACCAGGGAACCTCCCGTGGAGACACCAGGGGTACGTGCCTTTGGAACTACCAAGTCTTGCCGGGGGCGAGTACCAGGGGAACCTGCTTGGGGAGACTACCAGGGTACCTCCCCTGGGGGAGTACCAGGAGAATCGCCTGGGGGGGACTACAAGGGGTACCTGCTTGGGGAGACTACCACAAGGACCTTCCTGGGGAGAGTACCAGGAGTACCTGCTTGGAGAGACTACCAGGAGAACCTGCCTTGGGAGACTACCAAGAGAACCTGCCTGAGGAGACTACCAGGAGAACCTGCCTGGGGAGACTACCAAGAGAACCTGCCTGGGGAGAGTACCAGGAGAACCTGCCTGGGGAGACTACCAGGAGAACCTGCCTGGGGAGATTACCGGGAGAAACTGGCTTGGGAGAGCACCAGGAGAACCTGCCTGGGGAGACTACCAGGAGAACCTGCCCGGGGAGACTACCAGGAGAACTTGCTTGGGGAGACTACCAAGAGTACCTGCCTGGTGAGAGTTCCAGGAGAACCTGCTTGGGGAGACTACCAGGAGTACCTGCCTGGGGAGAGAATCTGCTTGGGGAGACTACCAGGAGAACCTGCATGTGGAAAGTATCGGGAGAACCTGCCTGGGGAGAGTACCAGGAGAACCTGCTTGGGGAGACTATCGGGAGTATCTGCTGGGGGGACTACCAGGAGAACCTGCATGGGGAGACTACCAAGAGAACCTGGTTGGGGAGACTTTCAATAGTACCTGCCTGGGGAGACTACCAGGAGAACCTGCATTAGGCGAGTACCAGGAGAACCTGCTTGTGGAGACTACTAGGAATACCTACCTCGGGAGAGTATCAGGAGAACCTGCCTGGGGAGACTACCAGGAGTACCTGCTTGGGGAGACTACCAGGTGGACCTGCCTGGGGAGACTACGAGGAGTACCTGCTTGGGGAGACTACCAGGAGGACCTGCCTGGGGAGAGTAGGAGGAGTACCTGCTTGGAGAGACTACCAGGAGAACCTGCCTTGGGAGACTACCAAGAGAACCTGCCTGGGGAGACCACCAGGAGAACCTGCCTGGGGAGACTACCAAGAGAACCTGCCTGGGGAGAGTACCAGGAGAACCTGCCTGGGGAGAGCACCTGGAGAACCTGCCTGGGGAGACTACCAAGAGATCCTGCCTGGGGAGAGTACCAGGAGAACCTGCCTGGGGAGACTACCAGGAGAACCTGCTTGGGGAGACTACCAGGCGTGCCTGCCTGGGGAGAGAACCTGCTTGGGGAGACTACCAGGAGAACCTGCATGGGGAGAGTACCAGGAGAACCTGCCTGGGGAGAGTACCAGGAGAGCCTGCTTGGGGAGACTATCGGGAGTATCTGCCTGGGGAGACTACCAGGAGATCCTGCATGGGGAGACTACCAAGAGAACCTGCTTGGGGAGACTTTCAATAGTACCTGCCTGGGGAGACTACCAGGAGAACCTGCCTTAGGCGAGTACCAGGAGAACCTGCTTGGGGAGACTACTAGGAATACCTACCTCGGGAGAGTACCAGGAGAACCTGCCTGGGGAGACTACCAGGAGTACCTGCTTGGGGAGACTACTAGGTGGACCTGCCTGGGGAGACTACCAGGAGTTCCTGCTTGGGGAGACTACCAGGAGAACCTGCCTGGGGAGACTACCAGGAATAAATGACTGGGGAGACTAGCATGAGGACCTGCCTGGGGGATCCTACCAAGAGGACCTGCCAAGATGTACTACTAGGAGGACTTGACTGGGGAGACTAGCATGAGGACCTGCCTGGAGTGACTTCCAGGAGGACCTGCCTGGAGTGACTTCCAGGAGGACCTGCCTGGAGTGACTTCCAGGAGGACCTGCCTGGAGAGACTAGCATGAGGACCTGCCTGGTGGATCCTACCAAGAGGACCTGCCAAGATGGACAACCAGGAGGACCTGAATGGGGAGACTAGTATGAGAACCTGCCTTGGGAGACAACCAGAAGTACCTGCCTTGGGAGACTACCAGGAGTACCTGCCAGGGGAGACTACCAGGAGTACATGCCTGGTGAGACTACCAGGAGAACCTGCCTGGGGAGACTACCAGGAGAACCTGCCTGGGGAGACTACCAGAAGAACCTGCTTGAGGAGACTACCAGGAGTACATGCCTTGGGAGAGTATCAGGAGAACCTGCTTGGGTAGACTACCAGGAGAACCTGCCTGGGGAGTCAACCAGGAGAACCTGCCTGAGGAGACTACCAAGAGAACCTACCTGGGGAGACTACCAGGGGTACCTGTTTGGGGAGACTACCAAGAGAACTTGCCTTGGGCGAGTACCACGTGAACCTGCCTGGGGAGACTACCAGGAGTACCTGCTTGGGGAGACTACCAGGAGGACCTGCCTGGGGAAACCACCAGGAGTACCTGCTTGGAGAGACTACCAGGAGAACCTGCCTTGGGAGACTACCAAGAGAACCTGCCTGGGGAGACTACCAGGAGAACCTGCCTGGGGAGACTACAAGGAGTACCTGCCTGGGGAGACTAGCATGAAGACGTGCCTGGGGGATCCTACCAAGAGGACCTGCCAAGAGAGACTACCAGAAGGACCTGAATGGGGAGACTAAAAGGAGAATCTGCCTTGGGAGACTACCAGGAGTACCTACCTGGGGAGACTACCAGGAGTACCTGCTTGTAGAGACTACCAGGAGAACCTGCCTTGGGAGACTACCAAGAGAACCTGCCTGGGGAGACTACCATGAGAACCTGCCTGGGGAGACTACAGGAGTACCTGCCTGGGGAGACTAGCATGAGGACCTGCCTCGGGGATCCTACCAAGAGGACCGGCCAAGAGGGACTACCAGGAGGACCTGAATGGGGAGACTAGCAGGAGAACCTGTCTGGGGAGACTACCAGGAGTATCTTCCTGGGGAGACTACCAGGATAACCTGCCTGGGGAGGCTACCAGGAGGACCTGCTTGGGGAGACTACCAGGAGTACCTGCCTGGGGAGGCTACCAGGAGTACCTGCCTGGGGAGACTACCAGGAGTGCCTGTTTGGGGACACTACCAGGAGTACCTGCCTTGGGAGACTACCAGGAGTACCTGCCTGGGGAGACTGCCAGGAATACCTGCCTTGAGAGACTACCAGGAGTACCTGCCTTAGGAGACTACCAGGAGTGGCTGTTTGGGGAGACTACCATTAGTACCTGTCTGGGGAGGCTAGCAGGAGGACCTGCCTGGGGGATCCTACCAAGAGGACCTGCCAAGATGGATTACCAGGAGGACCTGACTGGGGAGACTAGCAGGAAAACCTGCCTGGGGGATCCTACCAAGAGGACCTGCCAAGATGGATTACCAGGAGGACCTGACTGGGGAGACTAGCAGGAAAACCTGCCTGGGGAGACTACCATGAGTGCCTGTTTGGGGAGACTACCAGACGTATCTTCCTGGGGAGGCTAACAGGAGGACCTGCCTGGGGGAACCTACCAAGAGGACCTGCCAAGATGGACTAACAGGAGGATTTGACTGGGGAGACTATCAGGAGGATCTGCCTGGAGGGACTTCCAGGAGGACCTGCCTGCAGATACTACTAGAAGGACCTGCTTGGTTAGATTACCAGGGACAGCTGCCTGGGAAAACTTCTGGAAGGTCCTGTATGTTGAGACTACCAAGAGGACCTGTTTGGGTAGAGTTCCAGGGGACCTGCCTTTGGGTACTTTTAAAACCTATCTTGGGGTGACTACCTGGGGACATGCCTAGAGTGACAACCTGGGGGACCTGCCGGGGAACTACATTTGGGACTTTCCCGGGGATTACCTGAAAGACCTGTCTAGGGGTGACTACCTGGAGGACCTTCCTAGGGAGACTACCAGGGGAACCTGCCTGTGGGAGTACTCGGAATACTTGTCTTGGGGTGACTACCTGGGGGACATGCATCGATTGACTTCCTCCTGGGTGATGCCTGTGTGATTCCTGGGTGACTACCTGGGTGACTTGCCTGGGGTCTACATGGGGGCTCTGCCGGAGGGACTACGTGGGGGCCCTGCCGGAAGGACTACCTGCTGTTGTTTCCAGGAGTCGCCTGATCAGTCAAGCTGTTTGATTTTGTCATCAACCAGTACGACGTCGACACCACATCCTGGTTGATAAGACACTGACTGCATGAACAGATAAAGCTATTTCGTAAAAACAGTTTGCGGTCTCTTGGTGGCCCCTACCCGGAACTTGAAGAACAGACATTTAAGCCCAACCTCTTAGACAATAGAAAAGATAGGCAATAGTCACCTGCTTAATTAATGAGTAGGAATGACCCACCAAGTAGATGGTGAGTGAGATAAGCATGACCCACCTGGTAGAATATGGCGAAGGTGAGCAGGAGGTGGGTGAGGGCGGTGAAGGAGCCGGCCAGGATGCCCCAGCGTAGTGGCAGAGGCAACATAGAGTAAGTGACGAAGACAATGAAGAGTAAGTACCACATCTGATTCTCACTCTCCTTCTCCCACTCTTGCTCCAGGTTGTCCAGCGTCACTCCGTTCAACACCTGAGAGATGCACCCTGCAACAACACACGCAACATCTGGTTAATTCACCTGCAATGACACACAAATATGTACACAAATGTGCTTTGATTTGCCTACAACAATGCAAGCAACACGTTCGTTGATTTACCTGTAATAACGCAGGTAACATTTGGGTTAGTTTACTACAGCATCTCAGACAACACCTGCGTTAGTTTACCTGCAAGAACGCAAGTAACACCTGCATTAGTTTACATGTAACAACGCAGACAACACCTGCGTTAGTTTACGAGCAACAACACAGCAATAACTGCGACAGTTTACCTGTAACAACACAGATAACTCCCGCGTTAGTTTATCTGTAATAACAGTAAACACTACCCTCAGTTTGCGAGCAGCAACTGACACAGCACTTATGTAAGTTCACGTGCACTAATACCTGTGCTAGTTTACTTGCAGAAACACAGAAAATATCTGCGTCAGTTTGCCTGCAACAATACACACAACACCTACGTTAGTTTACATGCAGTAACACACAAAACCTGGGTATGTTGACCTGCAGCAACACAGGCAACTGCTGCGTTAGTTTACTTGCAGCACTACGCACTGTAATAACATTGGTAGGATTACCAACAATATGTTAGGTAAAAGGGCACATGTGCAACTAATTTATTTTTTATTTTTTTTTTTTATTATCACACTGGCCGATTCCCACCAAGGCAGGGTGGCCCGAAAAAGAAAAACTTTCACCATCATTCACTCCATCACTGTCTTGCCAGAAGGGTGCTTTACACTACAGTTTTTAAACTGCAACATTAACACCCCTCCTTCAGAGTGCAGGCACTGTACTTCCCATCTCCAGGACTCAAGTCCGCCCTGCCGGTTTCCCTGAATCCCTTCATAAATGTTACTTTGCTCACACTCCAACAGCACGTCAAGTATTAAAAACCATTTGTCTCCATTCACTCCTATCAAACACGCTCACGCATGCCTGCTGGAAGTCCAAGCCCCTCGCACACAAAACCTCCTTTACCCCTCCCTCCAACCCTTCCTAGGCCGACCCCTACCCCGCCTTCCTTCCACTACAGACTGATACACTCTTGAAGTCATTCTGTTTCGCTCCATTCTCTCTACATGTCCGAACCACCTCAACAACCCTTCCTCAGCCCTCTGGACAACAGTTTTGGTAATCCCGCACCTCCTCCTAACTTCCAAACTACGAATTCTCTGCATTATATTCACACCACACATTGGCCTCAGACATGACATCTCCACTGCCTCCAGCCTTCTCCTCGCTGCAACATTCATCACCATGCTTCACACCCATATAAGAGCGTTGGTAAAAACTATACTCTCATACATTCCTTCCCCTTTGCCTCCAAGGACAAGGTTCTTTGTCTCCACAGACTCCTAAGTGCACCACTCACTCTTTTTCCCTCATCAATTCTATGATTCACCTCATCTTTCATAGACCCATCCGCTGACACGTCCACTCCCAAATATCTGAATACGTTCACCTCCTCCATACTCTCTCCCTCCCCAATCTGATATTCAATCTTTCATCACCTAATCTTTTTGTTATCCTCATAACCTTACTCTTTCCTGTATTCACCTTTAATTTTCTTCTTTTGCCACACCTACCAAATTCATCCACCAATCTCTGCAGCTTCTCTTCAGAATCTCCCAAGAGCACAGTGTCATCAGCAAAGAGCAGCTGTGACAACTCCCACTTTGTGTGTGATCTTTATCTTTTAACTCCACGCCTCTTGCCAAGACCCTCGCATTTACTTCTCTTACAACCCCATCTATAAATATATTAAACAACCACGGTGACATCACACATCCTTGTCTAAGGCCTACTTTTACTGGGAAAAAATTTCCCTCTTTCCTACATACTCTAACTTGAGCCTCACTAATACTTGAGCAACTAATACGGCATTTAATTGTAGCAACGTTTCGCTCTCCAGAAACGCTGTCAACCCGTTGCAAACATTACAGAGACAAAGGAATATATAGGCACAAAGTGAGATGTTACAGCATAACATAATCACAGCAGTAAGTTAACTGGCCCAAACTGTAGGTGGTAGTAGTAATAATGGTAGTAGTAGTAGTAGTAGTAGTAATAGCAGTGGTAGCAGTAGTAGTAGTAGTAGTAGTAGTAGTAGTAGTAGCAGTAGTAGTAGTAGTAGTAGTAGTAGTGGTAGTAGTAATAGTAGTGGTATTAGTGGTAGTAATAGCAGTAGTGATAGTATTAATGGAAGGAGTAGTAGTAGTAATAGTATTAGTAGCAGTAATACTACTTCTGTTAATAGTGGTATTAGTGGTAGTGATAGTAGTACTAGTGGTAGTAGTAGTAGTAGTATTAGTGGTAGTATTAATGGAAGTATTAGTTGGAGTAGGATAAGTAGTAGTAGTATTACTACAACTACTAGCATGGTAGTAGTCGTAACTGGTATGTCGTAGTCGTAACAGCTTCACACGGTGAGGGTTCCAGGTTCGATTCCTGGCAAGGGTAGAAACATTGGGCGTGTTTCCTTACACCGGTTGTCTATGTTCACCCATCAGTAAAATGGGTATCTGGGTGTTAGTCGACTGGTGTGGGTTCGTATCCTTGGGAGCAAAACTGGACCTAATTTGCCCATAAATGCTATGTCTTTCCAAGCGGCTCTTTTATATTAGTTTGTTTGTCATTAATGTACTGCTAGGGTGTATACTATGTACATATACTTGTTGAAATAATGGTATTATTTTAGATTATTAATTATTATTTTTATTATTATTATTATTAATTATTATTATTTTTATTTCTATTTATTATTTATTTTAATAATTCTTAATTCTTTTATTCTGTTTTATTGTATCTGAATTGATGATCAAGGGGGGGGGGGGGGCGGTGCGCGATAAACTTATTAAAGTCTCTGGCGGAATTCCGGTGTTGTACGCAGGCATTGCTCAAGTCATCATTTCAGCAAACATTAATGTGTTAACTGAGACGTGTTTTGAGGCTTCTCGCAGTTTTCGCCTATGTTTACTCTGTTACAGCCTGCACAGGGATAGTGTAAACCCCTACAGTGACTGGTTCAAGGTTCTTCGATTAAGTCTTAGTCAGATCTTTTATGGAGGTGCTTGTTGCGATGAAGACTCTGTAGTGTTTTCTTGCGCGAGCACTTTGGAGACGTTTAATGTAGCCTGGTTGTTGGGCAGGATTATAATTTTGTTAGGAGTAGTGTTAGTGCGTGGAGAATTGACGATCTGAAGGGCTCTTTTCTTGCAGTCGTTGACGAAAAAGAAGGAAATTGTATCTCGGTGAAGATTTGGTGAATGTATGTACACTCCTCGCCAAGAAACTCTTGACTGGAAAAGAAGCGTAGGAGATCGTTTTAGTTTGTAGGATTCCTGGAAACTTGAAACCTTAGAGAGTTATTTACTCTATGAATGAGGACGTCTAAAAAAAAGTAACTTGTCAATGAACTCTTCAAGTTTAAACTGGATACCCCTCTCAACTGCGTTGAACCTTTCCTTAAGATTACTCATATCAAAACGTTTGGGAGTTATTTGAGGGACGCGTCCAATACATAACCATATAACCTACTGCAGTGACTATTGAATTTGAATTTACATCCTCACTCTAGTACCTTTATATACCTCTTTGTCTTGTATTAAACCATACCACGGGCGGGGATAGAACCCGCGATCAGAGTGTCTCAAAACTCCAGACCGTCGAGTTATCCACTGGACGGTCTGAGTTAGAGACTCTCTGATCGCGGGTTCTATCCCCGCCCTTGTTATGGGTTTGTTTGCAATCGTGTCATGACGATTTCGTGAGTCCTTGTTGACGGCTTCTTTGAGGGGACTTGAAGCTAGAGTTGGTCACGGCCCAAGATAGCTGGAGATTCGTCCTGTTAAAAAATTGCAATTTGTGGTTACAGTGGTTTGCCTGTGCTAACTTTCCTTGGGGTGTAGATATACCTAGTTGGACGAATCTTATTGTGGCTAGCTGGTCCAGTGGCTAACGCGACGGTCTGGAGTTTTGAGACTCTCTGACCGCGGGTTCTATCCCTACCCGTGGTATGGTTTGTTAGCAATCGTATCATTTCGATTTCGTGAGTCCCTGTATTGTCTGTAACAGACTGGCAAAGCTCCTGGCGAGCAAAACGTTGCTACAGTAAATTGTCGCACTAGTTCCGCATGTTTCCTTTTACCTAACGACAGTGCACACAACACCTGCATTAGTTTACCTGCAACAATAGACACACAGATGTTTTTAGTTTACCTGGGTCAACACACTCAACATATGTGTTAGTTTACCTACAACAATACACCCAACACCTGCATTAGATTACCTGCAACAATACAACCAACACCAGAGTTAGTTTACCTGTAACAATACACACACAACACCTATGTTATTTTGCCAGCAACGGCTGAAACACCGCCAGTTGTATACCTCTCTTTGATTATGCAGGTCATCGCGCCCCCCTTACCCTCGGTCTGGTCCTAGACCAGGTCTCCTGGTTGATTATCTGATCAAACAGTGTTGGTAATAGCCAAACATAGGTGAACGTAGCCACGACAGCCTGACTAATTAACAACTGTCCCGGAAAGTGATTAATTTTCATTTGTTAAAGACATTTCGACTGAGTGAACTGTCGCTCAATATTCAGAGCTGAAGACTAATCAGAGGTTCAGTGAATGATGAGTAGCAGTGGTACAGTGAATGATGAGTAGCAGTGGTACAGTGAATGATGAGTAGCAGTGGTACAGTGAATGATGAGTAGCAGTGGTACAGTGAATGATGAGTAGCAGTGGTACAGTGAATGATGAGTAGCAGTGGTGCAGTGAATGATGAGTAGCAGTGGTGCAGTGAATGATGAGTAGCAGTGGTACAGTGAATGATGAGTAGCAGTGGTGCAGTCGGGAATGATGAGTAGCAGGTGGTTACAGTGACTGATATGAGTAAGCAGTGGTCACGTGATGACGAGCAGCAGAGGTGCAGTGTATGATGGTAGCAGTGGTTTTTAAAAAAACAAGTGAATGA